CTCGCATCCCAGGAAAGGGCTCTGACTGCTGGACCCAGGACGTCTTGGGTGGCCGAGAGCCCTCCATCCTGCTTCTGGGAAAAGCTACGCCACTGCATCCTGGCCGCGAGGCAGCGGGTGCGAGGAGGTTTGCTTTAGGTTAACGATGACGACGCACTTGGGAAACGAGACATCTTCAGCTTACGCAAAAGGAATAGGTATTGCAGGGATCGGCTTCATGGCTTCCCAGCAGAACGACCAAGCCAGGAACAAAAGACAGCAATTATCACCTGTCTTTTCTGTTCATTCAGGTACGCCCAGTAACTGCATATGGGATTCCTGGCCGCTGATAAGTCTGGTGATTTCTGGGTTTTTTTGTTTTAAATTTTCAATTTAATTTGTTAAATCCCATTCTGTCACGACTAACATTTATGTAGAGCCATGTTGGAGTTCCTGCCTCAGTTTTGTGCTTTGAAGGTGAATAAAGATGTGAAGAAAAGTGCCTAGAGTGCTTATTTTCTTTTTAAAAAATCACAATATCTTTGTTACACTTTGCCTCAAATTTAATCATCTGTTTAAAAGCCGTGAGTGCTTTTAAAAATGCGCGGCATGTCTTTTCATGAAGCAAAACAAAGATTTTTACAAAACCATTTCATTTTGTAATTACATGTTCTATTTATGTCATTACATGTATTTACACTAATTATGCTCTTAGTTCTAATTACACTAATTGCATAAATACATGATAATCAACTAAAGTTTACTTTCAAAGAACAAAAGAAATTAACTCTAGACCTACATATTTACAGCCGTGAAACAAATCTATGAAAAGAAAAGAACCATCATACTTAAGGGCATAGCTTCAGCATCCTACCCCGAAAATTGTGCTTGCCAAGACCTCCAGTATACACGGTACGAACTATGTTCTTGCTTACAACAAAGGTAGTAAGGATATTCTAGGTAGCAATTTAACGAAAACCCCATTAAATTTATGGATGCTATATCAAAAAGTGTGCCCAGTCCCAGGGTCTTTCCCTGCATCTCTCTAGAAGATTCTTGCTCAATATTCTTTCTGGGGGGATAAGTTACAGGCAAAGAAAAATGGATGTTTTTCCTAGCATTCTGTTTTTAAGTAGGATCTACTAGCCCTTCTGCCCATAAGGTGCCACTCAATAAATAATCTTTCGGAAATACCTCCCTAAACAAAACAGGAGCCTACAGTCCCATCATGCTGTGGCAATGAAGATTCATATGAGGATCAGATTTTAAACTCGGGAGGTTTCCTAAGTGCAGTTCTGCAGAGCTTCTGCATAAAGCTGTGATATTCTAGGCTAAAAGCCACTATTTATCCTTAACATTGTTTTAACTATACAAACCTCTTAAAATGGTAAAAAGAATGACTACCCACATGCCCCAAGTAACATTATAAATTTATATTGTAATAATCCTCTTAAACCTACAGCTCCAAGGATGCTTTCTTGCTACACATTTATTAGACTGGTAAAGTTAAGATTTCACATCAGCCTAGCATTTCCACAACAGAAGTAGATTCAGTTTGTAAAACTTCTCAAATTGCCTCAAAAATACACAGAATCTAATATGAATACATCTAGTCAAAACCCAAAATGCCTGGTAAAGAGAGACATCATATCTACAAGGACTTTGAATGTATATTTTTAGTTTACATTGCAAATATAGTTCAAGAAAGAGATTTAATCTTATAACCTGCTTTCTACTCTCTTACTCAATTTGAAGGATTTTAATGTATGGCAGACTAGAAAGAATCTGTGTACATGTGGGAAGAGACGTACACAGCAAATGCAAGAAACTGTACTGTTAAATACAATCTAAAAATTGCAAGATTCATTACAAAGAAGATGTAAAAGCTCAGCTTACAAAAGAAATGTTAGTTCAACCCATTACACAGCCTGTAAACCCGATGTTATGTATTTGATAACAGAAGAATTTATCTCAAGCTTGTGTATACCTTTCACAAGAAATACAGCTATACCCATGCAAGGTGCCTAGATTATTATGAGACCTATAATTCTTACATTTTGTGACACTGGAAGGTTTGAATGAAGCAAACCAAATTTGTCAAAGCACCTCGTTGGTGGGGAAACCAACCCAACTGCAGGGAAATCACCCCAATTGCAGTGATTGGGTACTGAGATGAACAACTGGCAGAACCATGAGCACAAATGTAGTAATTACATGTGCACGCAGAAAAATGCTGAGAAATGGTCCCCAGAACTTAACCTTAGCTCATTTATTTAAAAAAAAAAAAAAATTAAAAAAATTACCTCTGGATTTTCCTCCTTTTTCTTTTTGGTAGCAGGGGGTCCCTGAGCTGACTCTTCAGGAGGTTTCTTTGTCTCCACTTTACTTTCTGTCTGGGTTTGGACTTGAGGCTGAATAATGATAACCTAAAAGACAATGTACAAATAAAAGAAGAGAATTCATCATATGAAACTCGATTTTTCTGCCTGAAACCTTTGGTTCTTCTTTGAACAGTTACTTGATACCTCTACAGACAACAGATGCAAGTCACAAGCCAAAAATATAAAAAACTGGATACCTAGGTTAGGCTTCTAAATCCATACTTAAGTTTCTAAAAATTAATTTGTATAGGTGCATTATAAACTTACTGCAGCCTAAGGGAGCCTCTTCAGTGCCTCTGAAAATTAGGACACTTTCTATTTAGAGGACTTCAGCAGCTGACTCAGCAGCCTAGCTTTAGCACTCGTGTTGTCAGTGATTTTAAGGTCTTCCCTTTGATTCTATTTTGCATACAGGTAGAAGAGACAGAATTACTACGCATTCATAACCAGTCTGATCTCAGTGATACCAGTGTTATTTCAGAGTAAGTATCTGGGGGTGGGAAGGAAGATACTCCTCAGTACTACTCACGTAACTGAGATCAGAGTTCAGCCCTCAGCATTTATGGGTTATGAGCAGTGGATGTCCAGTTTTGCTTAAACAAAATAAACTGTATGTGTTTTAAATTAAAATTCATTCTGGTATAGACCCTGTAGGAATTACTACACAGATCTCTCATACATGCGTGTATGTTTGTATATGCAGCTGCTCGCATTTGAATTGCCACATGAAGATTTACAGAGTGTAAATAACATTATCTCAGAAGCTACCAAATTAAAAAGAATGAAGGACAATTTCTGACCACAGAACTACACGTGTGCCTTTATAACCACAATCAAAGCTTCATGAAGGACTGTTGAAGACCTTCCCCAGCTCACCTTCGCGATGAAGGTTATCAGATTTAAACGCTGGGCCTTTTCCATCTATTTCATTGCTAACTTTCAATCAATGTTATTTAATTGTTGGATACTTCATTGCAACTCAGTCACTCTAGAAGATTTAACAGCATAAAAAGGGACAGTTTTCTTAACCAGTAGCCAATGTCAGTAAAAGAAAAATAAATTTTGCTAGAGAAGTGGGGCAGAGATGCCTGCTTTTATTTACCTCCTACATCCTGTCTTCTTTTTTAGCACTGTATGAGAACCTGTGCTGCCAACAAGACCCAAAGCAGCAGGATCCCAGTAGCAAATTACAATGAATGTCTGTTGGGTACATTGGCAGCCTTTATTGAATCTGTTTCTGGTATAAGAGTGGTGAAGTTCTTGCATTTCAAAGCTGAAAAGCAGTACAAAGAGGAAACGAGTAATTCATAACTTGATTTTTTTTTTCCTACTGATTCATCTGCTGATCAGTTTTGAAACCCTGAGCTCTCATTTCATTTGGTCTTCCCCTGAAAGTGTAGAAGGGAATGCCTGATTATTTGATATACTCCCGCGGGGCCAGTCAGTATAACTAATATCACTGTATAATTGAAGAGGGAGTCCATAGGAAATTTGAGCCTGTGCAGAATTCAGGGATACTATTAGTGAGGATTGGTTTAAGGAAATGGAAGATCATGTGGTCCCATTAATGTCAGGCTACATCATGCTGCATTTTGTTTCTCCTAAAAAATAAATATGTACACAGACAAATGTCTGCTAGCGTCCATGTGTCCCGTTAAGAGTTTTCCCATTGCTTTCTGATTATTTTCTTCAAAAGGAACAACTGACATCACTCTGCACAGGGCTGTGCACTCCCAGGGGAATATTCTGCTTACATCTGCAACGTAATTCCTGTGTTTGATAACCAAAAAAAAAAAAAAAGAAAAAAAGAAAAAAAAAAGCCAGGAAAAGCAGAACCTACCTTGCTGTCGGCACTAATGAGGAGTGGTTGCACTTTAATGCTATCGTTGACCACAGAGACAGTCGCGCTGGTGCTGATAGGAGTTGCATTGTTGGGGGAGGTGGAAATGATGGCGTACGCCACACCTGCACTGCTCAGAGGTGATGAAATAGCCGTAGACTCGGTGACACTTTGTGACTGGCTGTTAGGCGTCTGTACATGGCTGACGGTGTTATTGGCAGTCGGGAGGGCAGGGCTGGGGTTTTTGATGCTGACTACGGTTGCCTTCTGGAAGGTAGGAGGCTGCTTGGAAGGTTGGTCTCTGCACGGGGAGATAGGGAGGCTGTCTGGAATCAGGGTCTTTGGCCTAACCTACAAACAGAGAGCTAGACGTTACTAGGCACAGCCTCACGCCCTAACGAATAAACACCGCACGCGTGTGCTCTCCCAGTAGAATCTCTAATTGCATTAGCCGTGGAACAGGAGCATCTAGACAAACATACTGCAGCAATTCGAAGTAGCCAGCCATTCATTTACTTGTAGATATGTTCCCAGGACTCCTCAGTCGAGCCATTTTGGAGTCCTCAACTCACTGCAATGCTGAACGAGAAGGGAGGAAAAAGTCAATTCCTCACTTTTATTAGCACACATCCATACACATGCTACTCAAGTCACATCCAGCTCTCAGTAGGGATGTTTAAGCCAAAGCCTTTGCAAAGAATGGAAACCCCAGGTGCCATAATTTTCTGTTCTGAAGGACACAACACTCTTGCTATGAATTAAGGAACCAAATCATTAAGGGAGTTGTGGGAAAGCATTTACAGGAACAGTAAGCGTATGCATTTATAGTGGTGGATCGCTGAATGAAGATCCTCACTTTTTTGAGATCTGCCATGTCCAATGGAGAGAAGATTAATCATGCAATCGCTCAGCTCACAAAAAAAAAAAAAAAAAAGGGAAAAAAAAGAAACCCACAACCACCAAACTTCCTATTTTGTTGCTGTAAGCAAAGAGCTAGCTTGCAGCTGCAGGTGGATGCAGAAGGAACTTCCACGGATGGAGGGGGAAACTGTTTGCCAAGATTCGCGAAGGCTGCGGCTTTACCCAGAGCCGCGAATGAGAGCTGCGAACAATTCTTTTCAGCTAATGTGATGCGCTTCCAGTGGGGTAATTAACGTCACCCTGTCAACATGGCTCTGCCTTAACAACATGTTAAGTACAGTTCCAGGATTGAAAATAAATAATTTAAACCGCTTCGCATGAAGTTAACTTCACTCCCAGATTATTCGTTAACACGGCCACATAAAACAGTCGGTTCCCTCTGTGCTTATTTCATCCTGTCACTTCCCGCACCTTCCATACTGTGAAACAAAATGACAAGTTGTAACAGACAGACATGGGAAACAGCTGCCTGTGTCACCGCGACGCAGTCTACAGGAGCCCTTCCAACCATGCCAACTTCAATCCTGAGCCTAAGTAAGCAATTTAATGAAAAGGCAGGGATTAACTGATGTGCAGAAAAACCAGCTCTCAAGGCCGGCCATCAACCTCTATGGCGTCAAGGAGGAGCCGTACCCGGTTGTCCCCGCGGCGAGCGTTAAGCGCGGCAACACGCGTATCGCCGGCTCTTCGTGTTTGGGTAACTCGGCCCTCGATTGCCAGTAGGATCCTCAACGCCTACGAGCGGCGCAAACGCGTAGCGGAGGCACAGTCCTGCTCGGGAGCATCTCGATTGCCGGTGGTCGAGGTAAACGGGAAGCGAGAGAGGAAGTGGAGCCGAAGGAGAGGAAAGAGGAGGGCTTGCCCCAGGTCCTGCAGCACGCTCCTCACAAAGCCAGGAAGCCGCTGTGTTCGGCTCACAACCTCAGGGTAATGCTGGAAGGCCTCGCAGACCCACCGTGAAATGATGCAAAACTACGCTAAAATACGACTAACTGTATGCAAGATACACTGACAGTAACTGAAGGGTGGGTTTTTTTTCTCTTTTTCCTCTATCCAACCACTTTATGTAATGATGATTTGATTTATTTAGTTAAGATACCGGACAAATACCCTGGCCAAGATGTTTAAGAGAGGAGTCTATAATTAGCTTCATATCCATAATTAGTTAATGGTCTTATTTTCAAAAGTAGTGGACAGAGGATCAGTTTAAATCCATCTCTGCCCAGGCCTTCTGCAAAACTAAGGCTTATAACATAAACAACAGCTCAGCGCAATAGGAGACATGATACTTCAAGCAACTTGTTCGTGCCAGTCGGTATCAGTGTCAGTTATACAAGCAGATCGTGTAATATCTACTTTTATATTTTCATAATAATATCCCTTCCCTCCTATGCTATATCTTATGTAAGTCTCTCATATGTAAGCCCTCAACAAATTGCTCATCCTCATGTACTCAGAGACACATTCACAGAAATAGTATCATTATTCAGAAAAGAAAGTCTGAGAAGCTTGGCAAAACACAGTTAAAATGAATTGTCATGGCTAAACCCCCCCCCAAATTTAATTCTTAGCTGTTTTGCTAACATCTAAATTATACCATCTCTCCTTCAAACAAAATAATTTTCTTGCAAATTAATATAACATCTGTTACTAACAGAAATACTGTAAACACACAAACAGATAAGCACATACATACAGAGAGAGAGAGAAAGAATCAGGAGTTCTTCAGATTAAAGATTCAATACAACAGTCACTGAGATCTTTAGGAAAAACCAAGACTGACAAAAAATCGGCTCAGGAGTTTTTCTAGCCAAAAACTGTCATGTTGTCTACCAGGATCTACTGTATCTGTCACTCTTAATTGCACTTCTATATTTAATCAAAAGCCTAATTAAAACTAAATGCCTATATATATTCCAGCTATATAATTATCTTTTCTACACTATTAGATATACATATTGACTGTCAGATGTAATACCTCAATGAATCCTATACACACCCTTAACACACGTTCTGCAAGTCGTGGATGAATGCATCTTACTTTGCTATAAAATAAGCTCTTCCTGCACAGACAATTAAACAGACTTCATTTTCCAAAGTCACGTATTCTCTATAAAGCGCTGCATACTGAAATAGCTGATAGGACTTACCAAACTGGTACAGAGCAAGAACATAGGCCGGGCGTTTTCTGCCACCGTGTGATACAAAGGAGGTATAGCGGTCTGCATAGCCTAAGCCTCTGCAAATACCCTGGCAAGCTCAGCTAGCGCTGTGAGAGCATGTTTATTTGCAATTACAGAATAAGAAAAAGGACTGACTGCAGAAAAAAGTTTCGCGTGCTCCTGAGTTAAAGCTAAAATAAGTTAACGTTAAAAAAAATGTTTATTGCTACAGCCCGCAGGCATGAATCCAAACCAGAAAGCAAGCAGAGAAGCTCCTTTCCCTCTGCAGTGCTCTAACACCTATGAACCTTTCCCCCTTGAATATAAACACCAAGTGTAAGCACTCAATAAACAGCGAAGTGAAAGACCTTTAGCAGAGCTTCACATTAAAAACCAAACTGCTACAGTAATCTGGGAGAATAAACGGCGTCAGTGGGGAAGAAAAAAAGGAAGGAAAGAGCTAGCGTAAATTCCTTTTCCTCACGGCAAAACTGTAGCTTAAATTTGGGAGATGAAAGGAGGACAGGGGCAGTAGCAGAAGTTTGGAAGCTGACAGTCACCGAAGAACTGGAGAAAAACTAGGGCAGGGCACGGACTGCACTTCACACCCAAGGTATCACAAATGAGCCTACGATCCCACAAAAACTGAATCAGGTTGGACAACACCGGTCCCCATTACAAGAGCCACAGAAATAAAAGGTGCAAAAGTTTAGTAAAGGAAAAGAAAAGAGAATAAATAACAGACAGCATGCATGTTACCAAGTGAAAACTGCAACTGTTGGCGAGCGCTGCAAATAACAATTCTCCCGTATCTCAACCCTCCTCTCCCCAAATATCTTTCATTTAACTTCTGACAGCTGTCAAAACAGAATGTGATACTACCAGGGCTCTAAATGCAGGAGAAGAGAGAGCTTCTTCTTGAATATAATGATCTCACAAACTCGTGTTGTTCTTGAGTTTCCTCAATATCCACAATAACAAAAACATTTGATTTTAGGCGGCAATATTCAGACACCTCTGGTACTTCTCAAAGAGCCTGCAGGTGAGCACACTGTTCAAGAAGACATTCCCAGACTTGAGAATTCACTAGATGGGAGCTGTCTGCTTTTCAGACCGGGAAATAACAGGGAGCCCGATCCTGTGAGATGTGCAGAGTGCTCTTTTGTTCAGCAACCTCTAAATTCATATATTTTACAGAGCTTCATATCAGGAGGGAATCGGCTCCCGTGACTATTATGACTTCTTGTATATCCCGTATCATTAAGCTCCATCCAGATGTCCCTATACGATGCCCAAAGGCTTCCATGACACCGAAACATCACTCCAGCTCTCAAGAGCACAAACTGTTCGATACCGTGGAGGTGAATGAACCGCTGAGTGACAGAGGTGGGAGAGCCTGATGCGTGTCACCACTGACAAAGGCAACTGAGATCATGGGCAATCTATTTCCCGAGCTACATCCCATCAGATGAGCCGCTCCCACGCTGTAGTAAAGAAAAAGAAGGTAAAAAAGAAAAACTTTTACAAAATAAGCCCTCAAGATCCAACCCAAACAAGTATGGGGGGAAAGGACGAGAAGGGAAGGAAAGCACACAATTCCTCCCATCTCTGTGGGCAATCCTATGTGGTCCTAAAGGACAGGATTTAATTAGAACAGTTATCTCTGTGCAGATCTGCAGGTGCTAGGAGAATTGTTAAGGGCAATTCTGGAAAATGTGTTCTCCTTACGCCTACCGAAGAAAGGAAGTTAACAAGAGCACTTCAATTACAAAACCAAAAGGGATCATCATGATCTTCCAGCTCACAGACTGGCCATAGAATTTCTCCCAGAAACTGAAGACTGATTTGAAAAGAAAATACTAAAGACTTCTTAATGATGAATTCATCACGAGCCCCAATAAACTGTTATAATATTTTATTACGCTCATGACTGGCATTTTATTGCGAGGTTGAATTTGCCTAACTTCAGCTTCCAGTCCCTGGATCTTGTTATAGCTTTGTCAGCAACACTGAAGAGCCCTCCCCCTCCCCAATATCAGATATCAGCTGGATCGTGCTCAGCATCAATCAGCCCTTCATACTGGCAGGGCCGATCTGTATGAGAGTAAATTTTTCAGCTCAACGCAATATCACATTGCCTTTGAGAGAAAGACCATTATTCACACTTTATTTTCACTTCACCCTTGTACTCAGAGCTTAAAAACAAAAACTCAAAATGGATTTGGCACAATTCATATGTCAGAGAGGCAAAGTGCTGGGAGCAGCAGA